GTTTTTTAGTCTTCGATTCTCCTCCTGATCCTGCTCTCCCGTCCTAGAGCGCGTCTTTTTATTTTCGGAGATAATGGGCTATTATGGTTTCAGCACTCCTAAGGGGAGCGGCGGGGGGTATTGCACTCGGCCCCTTTCGCGGGATTTTGTGGGGAGGTCTCAGGCGGTTTGGCCATTTTCTCTTCCAACATGTTTCGCTTTCGGAGCAGATTTGGAGGATGTCTCAGGCGATTCGCTGGTTTCAGCACTCCTAAGGGGAGCGGCGGGGGGGTATTGCACTCGGCCCCTTTCGCGGGATGTTGTGGGGATGTCTCAGGCGGTTTGGCCATGTTCTCTTCCAACATGTTTCGCTTTCGGAGCAGAGTTGGAGGATGTCTCAGGCAATTCGCTGGCTTCAGCACTCTAAGGGGAGCGGCGGGGGGGTATTGCACTCGGCCCCTTTCGCTGGATTTTGTGGGGATGTCTCAGGCGGTTTGGCCATTTTCTCTTTCAACATGTTTCGCTTTCGGAGCAGATTTGGAGGATGTCTCAAGCGATTCGCTTGTTTCAGCACTCTAAGGGGAGCGGCGGGGGGGTATTGCACTCGGCCCCTTTCGCGGGATGTTGTGGGGATGTCTCAGGCGGTTTGGCCATTTTCTCGTCCAACATGTTTCGCTTTCGGAGCAGATTTGGAGGACGTTCGCGCCCAATTTGCGGGGATGTCTCAGGCGGTTTGGCCGTTATGCTGCTGGGCATCTGTCGTTTTCGGAGCAGTTTTGGGAGGATGTCTCAGGCGATTTGCTGGTTTCAGCACTCCCAAGGAGGAGGAGGAGGAAGAGGAGGAGGAGGAGGAGGAGGAGGAGGAAGAGAAGAGAAGGAAGAAGCGATGAGGAGGAGGAAGAAGAGGACAAGGAGGAGGAGGAGGAGAAGGAGGACAGCATGAACAAGGTAGGAGCAGAAGCAGGAAGGGGATGATGATGATGATGATGATGATGATGATGATGATGATGATGATGATGATGATGATGATGATGATGATGATGATGATGATGCTGATGCTGATGCTGATGCTGATGCTGATGAGGAGGAGGAGGAGGACGTGGGCAACTCGAGTAGCCAGGGCCAGACGATCGAGTGTCGATGTTCCAAGGCTTTAGGTTTTACTTAAACGCTTCCGCCTCACTCTCCTTCGCTCTCCGCTCTCCTTCACTCTTCTGCATTCGTACTCACTAATACTCAGACTCAGTCACACGCAGGCTCACTCGCACTTAGACTCGCTCATATACATACTTAAACTTACTCACACTCAGACTCACGCTCAGAACCACTCATACTCAGACTCGCTCCTACTCAGACTCATCATCCTTCGGTCCGCTCAAACGCAGGCCGACTCACACTCAGACTGCCTCACATCCATACCCAATCACACTCGGCTCACTCGCACTCAGATTCATTAACACACACACGCACTTTTTCTCAGACTCAGACCCACTCAAGCCCAGACTCAATCATGCTCAGACTCATCATACTACGATCCGCTCAATCACAGACTGGCTCACACTCAGATTCGTCCATACTCAGACCCACTCGCACACAGACGCACTCGCGCTCATATTTACTCACACGCGTACCCACTCAAACCCAGGCTCAATCGCACCCAGATTAACTCACACTCAGAATCAGTCGCTCTCAGATTTGCTATTGGTCGCACTCATGCTTGCAGACTGTGGGAATGTCTCGAGCGAGCGGTTCGCCCTCGCACACAGGCGCTCATTGACAGATATCAAGAGAAAGACGTACCAAGAGAATGAGATGCACATATGGGGAGCCCCGCGTCGAGTAATTCTCGGAGATAATGGGCTATTATAGAGGGGGGAGGGGCCAGGGGGGGTTATAATGTAACGCCTCCCCCCGCCGTGCGCAAGGCGGCAGTGCCCGGAGCGCACTGGGGGGGGGGGGGGGGGCGCGACGTTTTTTTTTGGGGGGGGGAGAGGGGGCCAGGGGCCATATGCCCACTGTGCCCCAAGCACTCAAGAAACACGCTCCCACTCCTCCCCGCCCACGCGCGCGCGAAGAGGGGAGGGGGGGGCGTCGGGCCCCGCCTTGGACGCCGTCTGCACGTCGGCGATGACCGCGCTGGCGGCACCCTGGCGGTGTGGCGCGAGCTTCGCGCGCGCAGCGCGATGCCCGTCGGATGCCCGGGCAGAGGAGACCGCTCCTACTCCGTGCTCCTCTCTTGTGTGTCTGGGGGGGGGGGGGGGCAGCTCTCTAGAGACCCCCCGCGTCAATGACGATGGGCGCCGACACTCGGCACCGACTCTCGGCATCCTCACTCGGCAACGACACTCCGCACCGACTCTCGGCGCCGACACTCGGCACGCGCACCCACCACAGTGCAATCTCCCCAAAGGGGGGTCCTACAGAGAGAGGCGATCTCTGCCTCCCTGACGCACACAACTCCTCTCCCTTCCCCTCCCCGTGCCGCTGCTGCTCCCCCCTCGGCGTCCTGCTGGTGCTGCGCATTTCTCTTTCCCGGGCAAGCCACAGGCCAGCCGCTGCGCATTCCCCTCCTCTTGACGTTGGCCAAACATTAGCTCGAGGCTGTCGCGTTCCTCAGCTACTCGAACTCTTTTCTACTGGAGGGCGCAACAAGTTCCCAAGAGGGCGAGTGCGAGAGGAAACAAGCGTGAAGTGATTCAGTAGTGCTTAAAATAACGTGGGACGGGCGAGAGAAGCTGTATGTGTTTCCTCTTCCTCCTTTTCCTCCTCCTCCGACTCCTCCTCCACGTTTCCTACTCCGACTGCTCTTCTCATCATCAGGTTTATCATCATCATCATCATCATCAGCATCATCATCATCATCATCATCATCATCATCATCATCATCAACATCATCAACATCATCAGCAGCAGCAGCATTAGCATCAGCATCAGCATCAGCATCATCACCACCACCACCATCACCATCACCATCACCATCACCACCATCATCATCATCATCATCATCATCATCATCATCATCATCAGCATCACCATCATGATCATGAACATGATCATCATCATCATCATCATCATCATCATCATCATCATCATCATCATCATCATCATCATCAGCATCAGCATCAGCATCATCGTCATCATCATAATCATCGTCTTCGTCATCTTCATCCTCATCCTCATCCTCATCCTCATCCTCATAATCATAATCATAACCATAACCATAACCATAACCATAATCATCAGCATCGGCATCGGCATCGGCATCGGCATCGGCATCGGCATCAGCATCAGCATCAGCATCAGCATCAGCATGAGCATCATCATCATCATCATCATCATCATCATCATCATCATCATCATCATCATCATCATCATCATCATCATCATCATCATCATCATCATCATCATCATCGATCGGATCCTGGCGGAGTCGGGCTCCGCCGCCCCACTCCGCCGAGAGCTGGCCGAGGCAGCGATCATCACAGATCGCGACGATCGCGACGGAATCCTGGGAGCATTCGATTGGCAGTCGAGGGCGCCCCGAGCGCCTCCGAGTCCCCTTGGAGACCTCCCTCGAGCGGCCTTGGCCGAACACTCCCGAAGGCTCTCCAACCACCCCGGGGCGCCCTCGAGAGGCTCCGGGGCGCCCCCGGCGCAACCCCAGGGGATGCCTGCCTGGAGCTTCTGCAGGCCGCGCAGGTGCTCGGTCACCTGGCGGCTGGCCGGAAGCTCAGGGGTCTCCCAAGGGGGAGGCTGACGTGGGTGGGGGGGCAGGCAGAGGAGGGACTTTCGTTTGACACTCAATGCATGGCAGCGTGTGGCCTCGTCTGGATGCTGGCCGGAAAATGCATCCCGCTTGGGAGATGTCTCTTGAAACGCATGCGATTACCAGGGCCGCGCCAGGGGGCTCCCAACCTCCAGCTAGGCTACGGAACTAGCTCGAAAGCAGAATCATAGGTCTTGAAACGCTGCATGCGCTTCTTCGTGTCCGCCGTGACCCCCACGGGCTACGTGATGTGCTGAGGGTGGCAGCCGTTGCAGAAGAGCCTGCCAACCGTGGTGGGGCAGCGCGAGGAGGTTAAAGGGGCCCTGGGACACACAAATAAATAGACACAAATAACACGATTCCCCGAATTTTCCCGTATTTTCTGGGACGATTCATTGTGTCTGTGTGTTTTTGTTCCCTCCTGGGAGGTGCGCGGCCAGACTGTGTCCCATAGCCACTGCCGCGGGGTCGTGTCCCAGGGACTGGGGGGAGCAGTGGGGATGGGCACCTTCCGACGGTGGAGCTGCGACACATCGCGAACCGAGGCCTCAGATCGAGGCCCCTGAGCTGCGGTGCTTGCACCTACAGCAAGCACACGAACAGCACTGCACCATCGCAACGGTCGAAGGCTGCCGTCCAGTGGCCAACCGAGCCCGGCTGCAAACCACACCAAAGAGAAGACTCGGTACGGTGGCCTCGAGGTGCCCTCTCAGACGATCCCCTCCACGACGACGCTGGGCACTGGGCAGGAAGGAAGGCGGCAGACGAGGACCAGGGACGAGGCAATATTGGGTTGGTTGCAGGGGGGCACACACCTGGGATGGGAAGGGAGAGGAGGGAGAGGGCCAGGAACGTGAGGCACCCGAGCACCAGGGGGACGGCGGGCCGGCTGGCCCCTGCCGCTCGCGCCGCCCCCTCCCCTTCCATGGGGGCACGGGCGGAGCCTGGACCGAGGCCGGCTGGCATATCCGCCCCGCTTCCACACGACGACGCCTCGTCGCCCACGTCGCCGCGCACACGCCCACAACGCCCACCTCACGCACCGCGCGTCGCGCCCCACGCGATGTGCACGTATGCCCTCGCACAACGCCCACTGCTGCCATGTTGCCGCCTCGCCCTGCGCCCTTCTCGTTCCGCGGTCCAGGCACCGCCCTGCCCTTTTTGTCCTGGGAGCTGTTCTTCCCCCTCTTCCCGCGCCCGCCTCCTACTCCCCTTCCCTGCGCCCCTGCTCCCCTTCCCTGTGCCCCAGGGGAGAGGGAGGCACAGGAGGAGGAGGAGGAGGAGGAAGAGAAGACGGAAGAGGGGGAAAGAGGAGGAGAAGGAGGAAGAGGAGGAGGAGGAAAGGGGTGGGGGCGGAGCGGTGCGGAGACTTGGGCAGTAGGTCGTGCGAGAGGGCAGGGCGGGTTCCTGTGAGTGAATTGCGGAGTGGGTGGCATCTGTCAGTGCCTCGAAATTGTTAATGGTACAGTTCGAAGCAAGACACCGAGGCGCCCCAGGGAGTCCCTGACAGCCCACAGAGACCTGTGGCCCGTCGTCGGGCCCGAGGCCAATCTTAACCTCCTGCCCGACATGGGTGCTGAACGCTCGGCCCGAACAACCCCACCTGCAGACCTTATTCGCAGAAAGCTGCACGTCTGAGATGGTCGTTTGGGCTCGAGTAAGCGTGCGCACCACGTGCCCACAAAACGACATAGCATGCAATAAGCACAATACGCATCGGTAAATCCGCCACCGTGCCTCTGGGTACGGAGTGGGCGTGTCCTCAGGTCCTATGCCCGATTCCTGAAAGGGCCCAAATCCTATTTCTTGGTTTCTCTGAGGTTCCTGGCGGCTTGTCGCGTGATTAATTCGGGCTCAAGAGGGCCCCAACAGGGACCAAGAAGGCTCCAAGACGACCCTAAGGTAATCGGCGAGGACCCCGAGTCGCCGAAAGATCTCGCCAAGACGCCCAAGATGGCGCCCAGACGGCCAGAGAGGCCTCCAAGACGCTACACGAGGCCTGCAAGACGGCTCCCAACAGAGCCTCAAGAGGCAACAATCATTGATTGTCCTTGGGGGTGCCTGGGTGCCCAGGTGCCCGGGTGCCCAGGTGCCCCGGTGCCCAAGTGCCTGGGTGCCCCGGTGCCCGGGTGCCCCTGTGCCCGGTTGCCCGGGTGCCCAGGTGCCCGGGTGCCCGGGTGCCCGGGTGCCCAGTAGCTCTATAGCCCTATAGCCTTATAGCCCTATAATAGACCTATAATGGCCCTATCATAACCCTATAGTAGCCTATGATAGCCCTATGGTAGGCCTAATAGCCCTACCGCCCTATAGCACTATAGCCCTATAGCCCTATAGCCCTAATAGCCTTATAGCCCTATAGCGCTATAGCCCCATAGCCCTGTAACCCTATAGCCCTATAGCCCCATAGCCCTATAGCCCTATAGCCCTATATCCCTTATAGCCCTTATAACACTGTAGCCTATAGTAGCCCTATGATAACCCTAATAACCCTAATAGCCATATAACCCTATAGCCCTATAGCCTTAATAGCCTTATAGCCCCATAAGCTTATAGCCCAAAAATAGCCCCGAAAGCCTTATAGCACTATAGCCATATAGCCCTACAACACTATAGCCCTCTAGCCCTCTAGCCCTATAGCCCCATAGCCCCATAGCCCTATAGCCCTATAGCCCCATAGCCCTATAGCCCTTATAGCCCTTGTACCCTGATAGCCTTTATAGCCCTACAGCCGTATAGTCTCATAGCCTTATAGACCTATAGCCCTATAGCTCTGTAGTCCGATAGCTCTATATGCCTATACCCCTATACCCCTGTAGCCCTATAGACCTATAGCCATATGGTCCTATAGCCCTATAGTCCTAAAAAGATTATGATTGGGGTTGTTCTCCGGTATCATTTGGCTTCTCGACACCCCAAAACAGCCTAAGAGGCCCCCAAGATCGCCCTGAAATGGCCTGAGAGGGTCCCAAAACGGCCCACGAGGGCCTCAGAACGGCCCAAGAGGCCTCCAAGACGACTGAAGAGGCCCCCAAGACGGCTCCACAAGGCATCAAGAAAAGGGACCCGAGGGGACATATCGAGCTGTTGGTCCAACACGCATCCAGGAGGCAAGAAGAGGCGCCCAAGAGGCACCCAAATGCCCCCTGAGAAGCCCCGCTAGGCCCCGACGAGGCCCAACTGAGACCCAAATGAGATCCAAAAGAGGCCCCTAAACTGTCCCCATAAACTCCAAATCTGCCTCCAAAAGGCCCGAGAAAAAAAGGCCTACCACGAGATACCAACGAACATACACCTTGCGAAATGCTTAAGAAATCATGGGTTAAGAAATTCATAGTCTCAGAACTTGGATAAAAAACCGAAATTTCTATTGAAATCTTAGGATTCACATTGAAACGTTAAGAATAATCGAGACTCTGACCGAAAACTTAAGTTTTCTTAAGCATCGCCTAAGGTGTAAATGTATCCACTGCGTGGGGATACGCGACAAACCACGTTGAAGAGAGAGCGTCTGCGCGCGGCTTTTCGCTGGAAGCTCACGCGCCACTGCCTCCGCTGGCGGAGTGAGCTGCGGCAGCCCAGGCAAGACCTCACGGCGCGAAAAGGGGAGCGTGTGGCTCGTTCCTTGAGCGGTCAGCACAAATCGCGTTCGCCACCGGAGCGGAAAACGTCGTCGGGAGATGCCGTCGAACCAGACCGTCCGCACTTGGAATCGGGCCGAGGTGTCAGGCGACTAGCTGCACTCGGCATCGAGCAGCGCGCGGCTGGGCGCGCGGGGAACTGGAAAACTAGGTCGTGGACACCAGAACAAGCAAACCGCTCGAGACATCCTCGCGACCTGGGCAGCTGGGGGTGCGAAAGCCAGCGCCTCGCCCCGAGACATCTTCAAAATCAGCTCCGACAGCGGATGACGTTGGGGGCGCAGCCATGCAAACCGCCTGAAGCATCCCCGCGATCTGGGCGCGAACGGACGAGGGAGATATCCCCTGGCGGTTCCCCTATGGGCGTGCTGAAACCAACGCCTCGCCCAAGACATCCTCGGAATCTGCTCTGTACGCAGACGAATCTGGCCACCAAAGCAAACAAACCGCTCGAGACAACCTCGCCATCTCGCCCCCTTCTGGGGTGCGAAAACAGGCGCCTCGCCCAAGACATCCTCAAAATCTGCTCCGAAAGCGGAGAGTGCTGGGGGCGGAAACAGGCAAGCCGCTCGAAACATCCCCGCAAGTTGGACGCGAACGAAGGAGTGAGATACCCCCGTGGCGGTTCCCGCATGGGCGTGCTGAAACCAACGCCTCGCCCGAGACATCCTCACAAACTTCCACCACCATCATCATCATCATCATCATCATCATCATCATCATCATCATCATCATCATCATCACCACCATCAAAATCATCATCACCACCGCCATCATCACCAACGTCATCACCAGCGCCTCGCTGGAGACATCGTCAAAATCTGCTCCGTCATCACCATCGTCATCACCACCATCATCATCGTCGAATCATCGTCATCATCACCATTGTTGTCATAATCATTCACTGCGTGGAGCTCCCCATATGTGCATCTATTCGCATGGACCTGTCCGCCGTGAGTGTCTAGGCGCAAGAGTTTTCCAATATAAGCGGGCTTGAGTTGTGACGGTCTGGGAATGAATCTAACTGCGAATGAATTGGGGTGTGAATGAGTCTCATTAGTACGAGCGCGTCTCTGCGTATGAGCCTGGGGCCTCCTGGGGCCTCCTGAAACCTCCTGGGGCTTCCTGGGGCCTCCAGGAGCCTCTTGGGGCCTCCTGGGGCCTCTTGGGGCATCGAATGGCCTCCTGAGGCCTCCTGGGGCCTCCTGGGGCCTCCTGGAGCCTCCCAGGACCTCCTAGGGAGGATTCGTGCCCGAGGAGAGGCCCAATCTATAGGAACAGACGTACATAAAACATTGCGGATTGGAACCATAAGAGAAGGGCCATATATAGGAGCACACGTAAAACACCTAGGACTCGTGCCCCAGGTGAGGCCCAATATGTAGGAACATACGTAAAACATTCAGGATTTTATACACAGGAGAAGGATAATATATAGAAACATACGTATAAAATCAAGGATTCGTGCTCCAGGTGAGGCCCAATCTATAGGAGCATACGCAAAACACATGGGATTGGAGCCACTCCTGTTGCCTTCTGAAGCCTCCTGCTCCTGGGGCCTCTCGGGGCCTCCTGTTGCCTTCCGGGGCCTCCTGGCGCTTGCTGTGGCCTCCTGGGGCCTCCTGTGGCTTCCTGAGGCCTCCCAGAGCTTCCTGGGGCCTCCTCCTGGGGCCTCTTGGGACAGCTTGTGGCATCTTGAATCCTCCTGCGGCCGCCTGATGCCTCCTGGGACCTCATGTGGCCTCCTAGGGCCTCCTGGAGCCTGCTGGAGCCTCCTGTGGCATCCTGGGGAGAATCTGTGCCCACGAGTCTGGCCACCAAAACAAGCAAACCGATTGAGAGATCCTCAAAATCTAGCCATTTTGGCGCGAACGGAGGCAGTGAGATACCCCTGGCGGCCCCCCCTAAATGAGCGCCTCGCTCGAGACATCCTCCAAATCTGCTCCGAAAACGGAGGATGTTGGGCATGCAAACAAGCAAACCGCTCGAGACATCCCCGCCATTTTGGCGCGAACGGAGGCCGTGAGGTACCCCGGGCAGCACCCCCTTAGGAGTGCTGAAACCAGCAAACCGCTAAAGACATCCTCATCATCTGCACATCGTCATCATCATCATCATCATCATCATCATCATCATCATCATCATCATCGTCATCATCATCACCACCACCACCACCATCATAATCATCAGCATCATCATATTCATACTCATCCATCATTCACCATCCCCATCATACTCACATTATGCTCTCACCACAATCATCATTGTCTACTGTAGAGAGGGAGGAGGGGAAGGGAGAGATCCGACGCGGTCAGAGAATAATTAGTCACTGCGTGGAGCTCCCCGTGTGTGCATCTCGTTGTATTGGCATTTCCGCCGTGAATGTCTACGCGCAAGAAACTTCGAATCTAAACGAGCTTGGATATTGACAGCCTGGAAGACAGTCTGACTGTGAATGACTGTGGGGAAAAAACTGGAGGTGTTCATGGAAGAGGAAAGCGCGTGCGCGACGATTCCCAGGGCGTCTTTAAATTCTCTGTCGGCTCTTGTGCTATCGAGAATCAGCGCGGGCCGGAATTACCACTTCGCTGTGCCGTTGGAACCTTCGGAGCTGCCTATGACTCTCATTTAATCCCTGTTGCGTTCTGCTGTGCAACTCCCTCGCAACAGTGAACTATACCACAAGACCTGGAACGGGCGCAACGCCCCCCGCCCATCCCAGTCGTCGCGCCGCTCCCCTTTAAGCGCGTTCCCGTCCACGCCTACTGCGTGCGCGAGCTCCCCGCCAACCTCCACTGGAAAAAAGGTTGCGGTCAGGAACGCGAGTACAGTCAAAACGTTTATTGAGGACGGGTGGTAAGGACACAAGACCCTTGGAGGCCGAAGTTGGATTTTTGGGGCGGGGGGCGGCCAGTGAAAACGGCGAAGGACGGGCCGCAGAGGCAATGACGCAAGGGCATCCTAAATGAAGGCGCGCGTCCTTACTAGGCGCGTTGACTGTACTTGAGACCGCAGAGCGGCCCACGGGCAGCTCTGGCCAGGGGTGGACGATCAGGACCAGGCCATACGTGGTGCTCCAAGTCTTCTCAAGTCAGGCTGACTGGATCTGCGTCGCAGCTGTATCCCGTGCATCTGGGCCATCGAAGTTGCAGAAATCGTGAGATAGAGCTCGCCCTCCATGCATTTGTATCCAGTCTGGATCTCCCAATTTCTCCGTCTCCGCTTCTAGCCAGTCGAAAGCGGCGGCGATTGAGTCGAAGCCGTCAAGCTCCCGACCACTGCGGTGAAATCCCCCTTGTTGTCCGAATTGGAGGCGGTAGGAACTCGGTCGCCACAATTCCGGAGCAGTACAAGGTGCAACATTTTTTCCCGCGCGATGTCGACGGACGCTCAAGATGCTGTTTTCGCGGACAGCGGCTGCGAAGAGTAATTGGTTTCCAAGACCCCAATGCGCCTCGTCAGGTCTTCGACATCGTGCTTCAACAAGCCAACTGCATTCTGCAAATCTCGCTAGGAAGCGCCATAGGTTTGATAGCCGCGATGCCCTTCTGGAGTGGGCCCAACTGCGCGCGCAGGAGTTGCTCGAATGTTCCAGCCGTAAGGGGCTCTGAAATGGATCCAACTGCCGCCGCCAGACTTTCTCGGAATTGTCGTTGACGCTGCTGGTGGGATCCATCGATACCGCCTTCTGTTCCTGTAGAAGTTTATTTCCTGTGGTGGACTGCTAGCCCTAGCCTGCTTAAACATACTTTACACTGGAACTATCATATCGCGTTTTTCGCCAGCATCACTAAGTTGGGAACGTCCACAGGGGAGCATACAGGGGTAACCGGACATACAACGGTGAACGGATAAGTACCAACAAAGCGTTGTATCGTGTGCAGGCCGTCCGAGGACTGACACAGCTGGTGCCATTACCATTCGGTGACATCTTCCGGCCAACTGTCATGAGATGGGCTCCGACGGTGACGACCCATGCCGGCCAACCTGTTCTCTTGGAGGCGTGCCTCAGATCATTGATCTGGCCTTTTTCGTCGATCATGGCGCTGTCCACTGAAAAGCCTGGTGCCTCAAGGTTTGGCATACATTGAAATAGGCTCGATCGCTGGTTCCTCCACTTTTTCCAGAAGTTCGAATCTGATTATGCCACGTACGCAGGCTCCAATCACATCAGCACGATTGACTGCCGGGTGCTACGCATCATGAACGCGATGTGATCTTGTGCGTTTATCGCGGCCGATCTTCGGAGGAAGGGGGGGGTAGGTCGGGCCTGTCCCCGTACAGGCGGATTTTGGATCCTCGCCCCCCTCCTTGCCCTGGTGCCCTGGCCCGGGCCCTCGGCTCCAGCCGAGCCTGACAAGGGGGCCACGTGCGAGCCCTCCCCCCCTGCCCCCCCCCCGACTTCTGATAGGGGAGGGTGGGGGTAGGGTTCGCTCCCGAACGAAGTGAGCCCCGCCCTCCCCCTCAGAAATCGTGGGGGGTCGGGGTAGGGCTCGCACGTGACCCCTACCTGACCCTGGATCCGCCGCCGGAGCGAGAGTCGTCGCCCTGCTGCTCAAGCCGATGCCGATGTCCGCCCCACTCTGCCGTCGCCTTCTCCGCCACACTCTTGCGGAGATGTCCGCCTTGCTCTTCTGAGGCTGAGATCCCCGCCCTGTCTGTTCGCATCGCTGGGGGCCAACCCCGACGCAATCTCAGGGCGGAGACAGGGCAGGGCTGCCCTCCAGAGAGGAGGAGGAGGAGGAGGAGGAGGAGGAGGAGGAGGAGGAGGAGGAGGAGGAGGAGGAGGAAGAGCAGGAGCAGGAGGGGGAGGAAGTTCCCGCCGCTCCCGGCGCCTCCGCGCGCAGGCTCCCCAGCGCCGCGTGGCAGACCTCCCCCACCTGCGGGGGGCAACCACAAGAGGGTGGGGGGACCAGCTCCGGGGCGGAGGCGGCGACCTGGAATCGGCGCTACACCCTGCGAAATGCTTAAGAAATCATGGGTTAAGAAATTCATAGTCTCAGAACTTGAATACAAACCCAAAATTTCCATTCTAATCTTAGGATTTACATTGAAACGTTACGAATAATCGAGACTCTGGCCGAAAACTTAGGTTTTCTTAAGCATCGCCTAAGGTGTACGCCGCAGAGTCACCGGGGCTAGCAGGGGCCACGCTGGCGAGGCCGAACGTTCCTGGGCAGGGGCGGGCCCGCGGGCGCCGGCCGGCGATGACTCGGCGGCGGGGGGCCGATGCGCTCCCCCGGGAGCGGAGCTCCTCCCGAACGTTGCCTCTGCACCTGCGCCAGCACGTGCTCGGACAGCTCCCTCTTGAAGGCGAGCGAGTCGAAGGGCGCCCGCGCGGCCTCGAGGGGGGTCTCCTCGCGGTAGAAAGGCAGGGTGCAGGCGAACGGGTCGAGGGGCGCCCGCTGCGCGACGTCGAGCTGGGCATCCTCGCAGCGGGGAGGGGTAGGGCAGGGGGATGGAGTGAGCGAGGCAGGCCCGCGGGGGTGGGAGAAGGGCGGGGGGGGGAGAGACGAGGGCGAGGGAGACAGGAAGAATGGGGGCGATGAGTGTGGGAGGGAGTAAGAGGGGGAAGGACCGACGGATGGTGGAACGGGCGGTATGGGGCGATCGGGCAGGGAAGAGGAGCACCTGGGAGGACAGGGAAGGTGAGGAAGGATGGAGGGGGATGTGAGGGAGTTGTGGGAAGGATGGACGGAGGGAGGGGGGACTGCTGACGAGGGAACGTGGATGAGAGGAGAGTGCAGAATGGATGTCATCCAAATTCGGAAGGTGCGGGGAGATAGGATGAATGTGCATCTCATTGGGGAGGCGGATACTCCTGAATGGCAAAGTTTTCAAATGCGTCCGTACTGTCTTCGTCATCATCGTCATCACCATGTGATGCGCTGACCCCCACGTCCTCCTTCTCATTCTGGTTCCTCGGATCGCTCCTCCTCCTCCTCACCACCACCACCACCACCAACCACCACCACCACCACCTTCATCATCATCATCATCATCATCATCATCATCATCATCATCATCAGCAGCAGCATCATCATCATCATCATCCTCATCAGCAGCATCATCATCAGCATCATCATCATCATCCTCGTCCGACTCCTCCTTGTCACCCTCGTCATCCTCGTCGTCATCATCATCATCATGATCAAATCATCATCACCATCAGCACCAACACCATCATCACCATCATCATAACCAACACCATCCTCAGCATCAGCATCGTCAACATCAACGAAGTCGTAATCATCAACAACCTCAACTTTATCAAAAACCATCGTCAACGTCGTCGTCACCGTCGTCGTCGTCATCATCGTATTTCTCCTCGTCACCCCCCTCGTTCCCGTCTCAAACCGCACTCCCCTTCCCCACTGTCCAAGCCCCGCCAATTTCTCCTCCTATCCCCCTCCTTCCACGCGCTCCTCCGGCAGAGCACAGAGCCGAGAAGACAGGGACGCGAAGGCAACGTGTGGGAAGCACTGCGCACGTGAGACCTGAAGTTGCACCACCAGAGGAAGCGGAACGAACGCGAAACAGGATGCAAGGTGGCCAGAGCTGCACGCTGGAGGGACCTTGGCCAGGACTAGGATAAAGTCTGGCCTGTCCCCTACAGGCGGATTTTGGAAGAAAAATTATAGGTAGTCAAAAATACTCTCAAATAGTCAAACATAGTCATACAATGCTCCCAAATCTGCCGGAAACCATTTTTTTAAACCATTTTTGGGCATTCCTCCAGTAGGGGGACAGGCCCGACTTCTAGGAGAGATGGAAAGGCTGGCCCCTGCCAAACTTCCCCAGGTTGCTTCGCACTCGCCCATGACCTCGACATACCCAGCCCTAGAACACACACACACTCACACACACAGGCGCGCCGTCCTCCTGACTTGTGCGCCCTGGCTTCAGCACGAAGCAAGGACTCCTGGGCGGACCTCCCGCGCGGAGTGTTTCCAGTGGGAGCTCGACCACAAGAAACCTTCCACAATAATCCCAACCCTGAGACCCCAGGGCGCCCTCTTGTTTCTGGCGTGGGAGCGTCGCGCCTTCCACTGCAGAGCCATCGAGACCCAAGAAACCCAGGGCACCCTGGAGGCAAGCAGGACATTTCTTGGCTTATGTTGTTCCCATCGTACATAAAGGCCACATCCCAGAAATAATTTCGACCACCCGGAAAAGTGTCGAAACAGTGTCGGGCGTTCGTCTCGCAGGGCCCGACACGTGAAAACCCTTGAGTTTCGGTACTTTTCTGGTGCTCGAAATTCTTTCTGGTGATCAAGGCTAAAGTAGGTCGGAACATACTAATTCGTGGCATGGTTTTCTCTGCACTGCATCCCCGAACCTTCGACGACACATGTTTCCGAATCGCCGGACCTGGCAGAACTCTCGACCCCATTCCCAGGTACCTGCCCGAAGGGGCCCAGAGACACACATATATATATATATATATATATACAAGACTGCATTGGCGCTGCGCGCCATGCACCTTGGTCCTTTAGAGTTTCGCACGTTAGCGGAGTGCGTGCGTGAGTACATGCGCACACACATGCGCCTATGGAAGCATACTACATATGTACAAATAAGTATCCGCCTTTCCAGGAGGCATCGTTCAGCATTATCAGGAGATCTGGGGTACAGCCGAAATGGCTGCGGAAGGACCCCGCAGAACAGAAGTGGGAGAGAGAGGAAAACTGGTTCTGCTAGAATCTTGACGGGGTGGGGAAGAGGAACATGAAGAGGATCAGAAGGAGTAGGGGGAGGAGGAGGAAGAGGAGGAGGAGGAGCAGAAGGAGCGAAACGTACGAGGAGGAGGCTGAGAGGAGGAGGAGAAGAGAACATACAGAGAAAGAAGAGGAACTGGAGGATAACGGGAAAGAGAAGGAAAGAAGGATTGAGGAAAATAAGGATTGGAAGGCTTCTGGGGGTGCCATTCAAGCTCAGTGTTGGGAGCCCTGGTGTTATGTAGCGTTTTGGGGCCTCTTGGGAGTCTTCTTGGGGCCCTTGTGGGTTCTCTTGGGTCGTCTCGGGGCCCTTTTGGGCCGTCTTGGGGCGTCTTGGAGGCCTTTGGCCGTCGTGGGGCTCTCCTGGCGGCGTCTTGGGGCCCTCTTGGGTGCCTCTTTGGGCGCTCTTGGGGCTCTCGTGGGCCCGTCTTGGAGCCCTCTTGGGCTGTCTTGGGACTCTCTTGGATCGTTTTCGGGCTCTTGGGGGGCCTCTTGGGCTATCTTGGGGCGATCTTTGGAGCCTCTTGGGCCGGTTCGGGTTGATGTTGGCCCGCAAAAGGGCGAACCAGAAAAACCTCTGGAAGCCATGAAAAAATCAATCACATTTCCCTCTGAGGGCCCTCTTGGGAAGCCTCTGGGAGGCCGAGCCAAAAGTAGAACAAAACACCTTCCGCAGGAGGAGGAAGAGGAGGAGACCCTGGGCGCGAGCGATTTTGTCCGAGCCGCCAGCCCTGGACCTTCACCCTCCGCACCCCCCCGCGCGGCAGGAGCTGCCGCGGCAGGTGCCGCCGCGCCGAGCTCCCGCGGCGGCACCCCGCCGCCCGAGAGGGGGCGGAGGCTGAAGACTTCGGAGAGCGAAGTGCCGCCCTCGCCCTGCGCTCCGAGACAGCGACACGCCGCACGCTCCTCGGCGAGGTGGGCTGTCGGGCCCCATATCGGCGATGCATGGGCGATCTGGGGGTCGATGCCTCCCCCGCCCCCCGAACGCTGCCCCCCCCCCAACGCCCCCCAACGCTGCCCCTCGAGCCTCCCCCAAATCTGCCCCCCCCCCCCCCCCCCAACGCGTCTCCATCGCTGCCCCCTGAGCCTGTCCCCCCCCCCCCGCACCCCAACGCTGCCCCTGAACTGCCGCGTCCGCCCCGCGCCATGCCCGAAGGCCCCCCCCCCGGCCGGCCGCGCCGGGCGGCCACTCCGCGGCAGTGGGCAGCAGTGCGAGCGCCGCGTCGTCGGCGCGGGTGCCCGCGGTCGCGGGACGCCCGGGCAGCGAGGCTGCGGCAGGCGCTGGCTTCCTGCGACGAGGGGGGCTCTCTTCGCTTTATCCACCCGCGACTCCTTTTTCCGTTCCTGCGTTCCTGCACGATGCCGCTGGTCCTCCACATCCCCTGCCTCATCCTCATCATCCTCATCCTCATCCTTATCCTGTGGCAACTCCTCCTCCTACTCCTCCATTTCCTCTTTCTCCATTCCTTTCCTTATGGAGAACCCCTCCCTGTCGCACCTCGAGGCCAGTCGGAAGGGCGGGCCGGGCATTTCGTCCGAGACTTCTTTACCAATTGTGGGCCTGAAGCTTAAGTATTGGTATCAGTTTCACACATGAAGGGCGGGTGGTTTTCAAACTGATGTTTGCGCCTTAAAGCCACACACACTCGACTAAAACATGTGCAATTGCGCTACCGAGGAACCGCACGTACTTATATTATGGCTGGAATGATGATAGCTGAAGTGAAGCATGTGAGAATAATTCTGGTGGCCGTTCCCTGCGCAACCCCTATGGTGTCAACACAGTGCCACGCTAACTACGCCCTGGACGACCGGCTCGGATAGCGGCCGCGCTCACAGACCACCACCTGCGGCCCCCCCCCCTGAAATTACGAGAATATGCCACGCCTGCTACGCCCTGGACGACAGGCTCGGACAGCGGCGGCGCTCAGAAACCACCCCCTGCGCACCCCCCTATGGCGTCGAGAAAGTGCCGCGCCTGCTATTCCCTGCACGACCGGCTCGGATAGCGGCCGCGCTCAGAGACCACGCCATGCGCACCCCCCATGGTGTCGAGAATATGTCACGCCTGCGATGCCCTGGACGACCGGCTCGGATAGCGGCCGCGCTCAGAGACGACCCCCAGCGCACCCCGTATGGCGTCGAGAATGTGCCATGCTTGCTATGCCCTGGACGACCGTCACGGATAGCGGCCGCACTCGGACACCATCCCGTGCGCACCCCCTCTGGTGTCGAGAATATGCCATGCCCGCAGTGCCCTGGACGACCGTCACGGATAGCGGCGGCAGTGAGAGACCACCCCTTGCGCACCCCGTATGGTGTGAGAATATGCCATGCCTACTGTGCCCGGGCCGACTGTTACGAATAGCGGACGCGGTGAGAAGCCACCACCTACGCACCCCCTATGGTGTCGAGTATATGCCCTGCCTGCTGTGCGTTGGACGACCGTCGCGGATAGCAGCGGCGGTGAGAGACCACCTCGTGCGCACCCCTTATGGTGTCGCCTTATGGTGTCGAGAATATGCCATGCCTGCTGTGCCCGAGCCGACCGTTACGAATAGCGGACGCGGTGAGAGACCACCACCTAACCCCTCTGGTGTCGAGAATATGCCATGCGTACTGCGCCTTGGACGACCGTCACGGATAGCGGCCGCGGTGAGAGACCACCCCCTGCGCACCCCATCTGGTGTCGACAATATGCCATGCCTGCTGTGCCCTGGACGACCGTCACGGATGGTGGCCGCGATGGAAGACCACCCCTTGCGCACCCCCTATGGCGTCGAGAATATGCCATGCCTGCTGTGCCCTGGACGACCGTCACGGATAGCGGCCGCGGTGAGAGACCACCGACGTGGGTGCGGCGCGGGTCCGCATCGCAGCTGCAGTGAGCACGCCAGGCGCGCACTAGCGTTGTATGGTGTATGTTGTGCGTGTGCGATTGCGCGCATGCGTACAGCTGCATGTAGACGCGCGTGCGATGCACGCGCCGTGCATGTGTTGCGCGTGGGTGAAGGGAAGAAGGAAGTGAAGGAGGGGAGGAAGGAGAAGGCAGGGGAGGGGAGGTGTGTGTGTGTGTGTGTGTGTGTGTGTGTGTGTGTGTGTGTGTGTGTGTGTGTGTGTGTGTGCGTGCGTGTGTGGTGCCGAGAAAGTGCCACGCCTGCCACGCTCTCCGACCCTGGCACGCATAGAGGCCGCGCTGAGAGACCACCCCCTGCGCACCCCCTCTGGTGTCGAGAAACACTCACGCCTGCAACGCTCTCCGACCCTGGCACGCATAGAGGCCGCGCTGAGAGACCACCCCCTGCGCTCCCCCTCTGGTGTCGAGAAAGTGCCACGCCTGTCACGCTCTCCGACCCTGGCACGCATAGAGGCCGCGCTGAGCGACCACCCCCTGCGCACCCCCTCTGGTGTCGAGAAAGTGCCACGCCTGCCACGCTCTCCGACCATGGCACGCGTAGAGGCCGCGCTGAGAGACCACCCCCTCTGGTGTCGAGCAAGTGCCACGCCTGCCACGCTCTCCGACCCTGGCACGCATAGAGGCTGCGATGAGAGACCACCCCCTGCGCACCCCCTCTGGTGTCGAGAAAGTGCCACGCCTGCCACGCTCTCCGACCCTGGCACGCATAGAGGCCGCGCCGAGCGACCACCCCCTTGCGCACCCCCTCTGGTGTCGAGAAAGTGCCACGCCTGCCACTTTCTCCGACCCTGGCACGCATAGAGGCCGCGCTGAGAGACCCCCCCTGCGCACCCTCTGGTGTCGAGAAAGGGCCACGCCTGCCACTCTCTCCGACCCTGGCACGCATAGAGGCTGCGCTGAGAGACCACCCCCTGCGCACCCCCTCTGGTGTCGAGAAAGTGCCACGCCTGCCACGCTCTCCGACCCTGGCACGCATAGAACCAGCACTGAGTGACCACCCGCTTGCGCACCCGCTCTGGTGTCAAGAAAGTGCCGCGCCTGCCACGCTCTCCGACCCTGGCACGCACAAAGGTCGCGCTGAGAGACCACCGCCTGCGCACCCCCTCTGGTGTCGAGAAAGTGCCACGCCTGCCACTTTCTCCGACCCTGGCATGCATAGAGGCCGCGCTGAGAGACCACCCCCTGCGCACCCCCTCTGGTGTCGAGAAAGTGCCACGCCTGCCACGCGCTGCGAATCCTAAACGCACGCTTTGTATATGGCCTGTCATGTGTATGTGGATGATGCGTGTGCGGCCGTATCGGGACGTGTGGAGGAAGAAAGTGAAGGAGGAGAAGAAGGAGGAGGGAGGGGAGGTGTGTGTGTGTGTGTTTGTTTGTGTGTGTGTGTGAGTGTGTGTGTGTGACGTGGGTGCGACGCGGCAAAGAATACGCCCAGAACCCTACAACACATGTGGAGAATACTTTCACGGACTGATGGCGGGTGGTTTTCAAAACGTGGCTCTCACCTTAGCGCCCCGCGCATTCCTTTTAAACATTTGGAAAAGTTTCACTGATTGAGGGCGGGTGGTTTTCAAACAGTGACTCTCACCCTAGCGCCGCGCACATACTTTAACCAATTGCAGAAGTTTCATTGGTTGAGGGCGGTTCCTTTTTCAGCATGTGGTTCTCGCCTTAGCGCCACGAGCATTCGTTTTTGTAAACTCGCCAGAGTTTCACTTATTCTCATGGCTACCGTACCAGAAAGAATGTGCTGAAGCGACTCAATACTGTCAGGGCGCAATGATTACGTTCATTCGTGGTGTTGAAGTCCTGGGAATGGCGTTCTGGCACGAGTTAGGACCGTCAAGACGCACCAAGCCAGGTTGACTCGTGGCGTTGAAATTTCGAGAACAGTGTTTGTAGCTTTGCCCTTTGGGCGTGAGTGGTTTAGGGAGCTCTCTCTGTTCTCAATCCCCCTTCTTCCCCTTCGGGGAGGGGTTTACCCATCCCCCTACCCCCTCCCCCTGGACCTGGAGAGGGGGTTTCGCGGGTCGTTGGAGGGGTCCTTTTCGACTCCTGGGAGGGCTAAAAAACGACGACCCTCACGATGATTCTGGCCCCGACGGGGGGACCCAATTTGGCCCCTATGCTCTTCTTTAAAGCCAAAATCATTGATTTTACTACGGTTTTGGCCCCATTTTGGCGTCCTGGGGGGGCCGCGCTCATCTTCCGTCATAGCAAAATCATTGCTTTTACTCAGGTTTTGGCAACATTTTGTCCTTTTCAGGGGGGGCAGCTCTCGCTTGCGCTTCTGAGGAGCCCCCCAGAGGGGCCAAGATGGCCCCCTAAAGGCCCCCAGGAGGCTCCCAAGAGGCCTCCAAGAGGCCCCCCAGAGGCGCCCAAGCGGTCCCAGGAGGCCCCCAAGATGCCCCCAATAGGCCCCCAAGAGGCCTCAAGAGGCCCCAAGAGGCTCCCAAGAGGCCCCCCAGAGGCCCCCAAGAGGCCCCCCAGAGGGCCCAAGAGGCTCCAAGAGGCTCCCAAGAGGCCCCACGAGGAGCCCGAACGACTCACACCAGGCCGAGGGGCCCGAACGACTCACACCACGAAGAGCCCGAACGACTCACACCACAAGGAGGGGCCCGAACGACTCACACCACGACCCACCACGAACGACTCACACACAGCCCCGAACGCGGGCCCCGAACGACTCACACCACGAGGAGCCGAACGAGTCACACCAGGAGGAGGGGCCCGAACGACTCACACCAGGATGAGGGGCCCGAACAACTCACACCACGAGAAGCCCGAACGACTCACACCAGGACGAAGAGCCCGAACGACTCACACCACGAAGAGCCCGAACGACTCACACCAGGAAGAAGGGCCCGAACAACTGACACCAGGACGAGAAACCCCAAACGACTCAAATCACGAGGAGCGCTTTCTCTCCCTTCTCCTCCGCCTCGTCCTTCTCCCGCTCCCCCCACAAGGAGGATGTACAAGGAGGCGGGAGGAAGGAGGAACAGGGGAGATATGCGGGGCCAAGCGGACACACGGCTGAAAACCACGACTGTCGGCATGCTTCGCCAGAGTTGCTGCTGTGAGATGGGCTGGTGGGGATACGCGAAGCGTAAAGAATTTCGAGAACGGTGTTTGTCGCTTTGTACGCTTCAAGAATTTCACACGGTTGTCCCCCAACGGGGCAATTCCCTTAATAGAAATGAAGAAGGAGCTTGGAATGAGGGTGTTTTCCAACATCGTTGATGGGTCTGGGGTTTGCAGTGGTCCTCATCTTTTTCTTCTTCTTCCTCCTCCTCATTATCCCCGCTCATTCGTCTCGCCTCAATCCTTCCCCTCCCTCTTCTGCCTCCTATCTGCCTCCCTTTACTCATTTGCTGCATCATCGTGCTTGACGTCGTCGTCCTCCTCCTCCTTCTTTCCCATGCCGCATGTTTCACATCCCAGCCTCGGAATGAAGAAAGTAGCAAACTGAACGCCCGGGATGTGCCCGCCCTTTTCAGCTTGAAAGTTTTACTGAACGCTGCGCTGTCTGGCATCCATGGAGCCACGAAGGACGTTCATTCGCCCTGCTTCGCTCACTATCATCGCCACCGTGCCGTAAACACGGATGGAATGTCCCCAGTCCGCCTAGAGCTGTCAGCATTCAATATGTACTGCGAGTACCCTTAAGAACCCCAGACGACCTAGCCGACGGGGGTTCCTGGCGTTCCTGGCTGTTCCTGGGGGTCCTCGCGCAATTTGTTCATTGGCCTCCCACCCCTGGCCCAGGCTCTACGAGGTCAAGTGCCCTCGCCCTCCTGCTGCTCTGCATCTCGCTCTCCCTTCCCTCATCCTCACCCCATCAACTCGCTCCTCTCCCCCATCTGCACGGTTTCCCCCAGGGCCATAGGCGACCCGATGAGGATGATGATGATGATCATGATGATGATGATGATGATGATGAGGAGGAGGAGGAGGAGGAGGAGGAGGAGGAGGAGGAGGAGGAGGAGGAGAGAAGGAGGAGGAGGAGGAGGAGGAGGAGGAGGAGGTGGAAGAAAGGGGAGAGATGGAGGAGGAGGAGGAGGGGAGGAGAGGAGGGGGAGGGAAAGGAGAGGAGGGAGGAGGAGGAGGAGGACTAGGAGGGGGGAGGAGGAGGAACAAAAAGGAGGAGGAGGAGGAGGACGGCTCGCCTAAACCCTTCGGAGAAACCCTCCACCCCCATCCTCCTCCCGCCACAAGAAGGATCGCGGGAGTCCTCTGCCTCTGCTCGGCGGTGAAGACGACCTTTGCTGGCTGGACCTGGAACAGTGCTCCGAAAGGACTGTGTTTGCATCCTCCCTCCACCACCCCCTTGGGCAGCGGCGAGCGCGCTGAAGAAGTGGGCGGGAAAGGAGGAGGAGGATGAGGGAGAGGCGGAGGAGGAGGAGGAGGAGGAGGAGGAGGAGGAGGAGGAGGAGGAGGAGGAGGAGGAAGAGGAGGAGGAGGAAGAAGAAGAAAAGGGGGGAGGAGGAGGCGGGGGAGGAGGAGAGAGCAGGGAGGAAGACTAGGCAAAAGGAAGAACGAGGAGGATCGCTGCACACTGCGCAAGCGAACTGTCGTCTCAGGGCGAACGCGCGGCCGCGGTGGCCCGCAAAGTGTGACAGGCCCACGTGGGCGGGCCGCGCGACGCTTACAGGCAGGCGACCTCGCCCAGCGAAGGCGCCGTGGAGGTCAAAGAGGGCCGCAGCAACGCCGCAAGTCAGCCTTCTGCCTTGGGCGCCGGTTGGCGTGGAGCGGTGGGGGGGTGGACCAAGCCGCATGAAACTCCACCACGGCCCCTCCCGCTGCCGCGGGATCGCCGCCACGCCACTGCATGCGCAGCAACGCCCGAATATGGGCCCGCGCTCGACGCGGGCACCGCGTGGCCAACCGCGCGCGCGGCAACAGTGGGCGAAGCGCAGCGCCGCGGCCGATTCGGGGTGGAAATCCCCAGCACGGCGCTAGAGCTGGCTCTCGACGCGGTCGCGCCCGGCGTCGCGGTCGACGTCAAGCATGTCCAGTGTCAACTGCACTTTCGCAGCCCAAGTGGGTCTGCAGTGAACGTCGCCCCCGCAGCCGTCGCGCTGGTCGCAGTGCCCGAGCAAGGGCGGCCCGATGGGACCTGAGCGCCAACTCCCCTGGCCCAAGGATGGATGGATACGCAAGGGGCGCTCTGCACCCTTTGGGGGGGGCCCTTGGGCTGGCCCCCCCCCCCAAGCGACGCCGCGACAGCGGTGGCCGCGTCGCCCGACGAGGGGGGGGCCGAACTCCGCGATCGAGGTTCCAAGAGACGGCGCGCCGCTTGCGCTTGGTCGGCCTGGCGGCAAGCGCGACATCCTTGATTCGGCGCGCTGGGCCGCGCTGTCGTCCGCGACGTGGGCCGGGTGAACGACCGCCGCCTTGCCCCCGAGAAGCGAAGCTGGCTGCGACCGCTGGCGCGACCGCGGGGGCCCTTGGACGGGGGTCGACTGCGCGGCGAAGCGCGCCGCGAATCCCAGGACTGACTGCAAACGAGGCGGGGCGCGCGGCGAGTCGCGGGATTGGCGGCGGAGGTCGCAAGAGGGGGTCCGCGACTCTTGCGACGACCGCGACAGTCGCGATTGGGTCGGCAGGCGCCCGCTGGACTGCGGGAAGGGTAGCGGCCGCGGCCCGAGAATCGGCGACCCCTGGACTTCGCGACGGCCGTGGGGTAAGCGGGCGGCTCGGACTCCGAGGCGGGGTTTCGTGACCGGAGTTGACGCGGGGGCACGTGCGCTGGTTGCCCTCGAAACAGGTGCCGGTCCTGTAATGGCGGCAGCTTTGCATGTGGAGGCGCTTGCAGCGATCGCCGCAAGGACAGGACACCGTCCTTACAATGGAATGCGGCAAAATGGCACGTCGCGGGGACCAGTGTCGTTGTTTGGCGGAACTGCCCGGTGGGCGGGAGAGCACGCGCATGCCCGATCTGGTACGCATTAACCTGCGCATGGCTCCCTTCGTGAATTTGCCCTTGCTGAAGGCAGCGCAGAGTTGTTTCCGCGGGCCCCTTGCAGACGCACTCGCTGCAATGATAGTGGAGCGCTCTCGAGTCCACATTGATGCCGTCAAAGTCGGCGTAGCTCGATGGTAGTATTGGCTCGCTTGTGAAGCCGAGCGCAACGTCTCTCAGGGGCGCTTCTCGGAGCCTGGATGTAAACTACCATAGATTCGCACACTGAGGGCGCATCTGGGCGCAGAATAGGACATCCCGCGCGCGCGCGAAGGGGGGGGGGGGGGGGGGGGGGGGGGGGGGGGGGCAATTCGCGGAGCTCAAAAAATGAACGGCCCCGGTCAGACAAACGCATTGAGGTCTGCGTCGCGCAGGCGTAGCGCGCGAATGCGTTCGCGGCCATGAATTATGCCATCGGCATCCTCAAAATCATAGGGGCGCAAGATAAGCGACTGAAATTTGTGCTCTCGAATCGGCGCCCCTGTCGGTGGTCTGTTTTCTGCAACGGCGCGACGCCCTGGCGCGACTCGATGTAGAGGACTTCTGCGAGCGCAGCTGCGAGCTTGCAGCGGAAACCCTCGGGGCCCCAACTGTCGCGTAGGTCTTCCAACGTCATGCCAGGTTCCTCAGCGGCGCAGATGCATCTGCGGGCTGCGGCGGGCTTCCCTGAGGCACTGCAAAAAAACCTCATGTCTTTTCTGTTGCCGTTCATCTACCTGGGTGATTTTAGGGAGGTAGCGCGCCGTGAGTAATTCGGATTATTCGACCACGGCCGGGGCCGCGATTGGAGACCCGCCGGCGATGCACCGTGGACTTGCGGCCGCGGAAACGCGGGCAACAGGGGGCGGACCCGGCAACTCGCAGCCTCGCGCGCGTCGTCCTTGGGCGGGTCATCCGCCAGAGCGGCGGGCGCAGCCGTTCGGGCAGTGCGTTTGGCGAGGGCGGGCGATGGGCCCTGGCCAGCCTGCGTGCTCCGGCGTGCTATGCCGGTGGCGCTGCTTAGGCGCCTGGGCCCCTCGCGCGGTCAACGCGGGCGGTGCTGCGCAGCGTGTGCTACGCGGGCGCGATTCCATTGGAGCTGGCCCACGCGCCCCCAGAGCCCCTCGACCCTCGCGCGAATCTCCGCGGCGGGCTTCGTTGCGCGAGAACGCTGCCTTTTGACTTGAGAGGTTGGTTCAGACATGGTTGATCGTAAATCGAGAAATTGCTGTGATTGCGTCGCCGGGCGGGTTTGAAACTCTGTTGCCCGCGCCGCCAGGCCGCCCCCCTCGGCTAGCGGGGCTTCGCGAAACTGCCGTTGCGCGCGGCCCGCCGCCGCCCGCAAATTCTGAGCCTCAGTTGCCGAGGGGGCGGGGGTCCACCGAAGCGGCGCACAGCTGGCCAGTCTGGGCCCCCACCGCGCGCGGCGCTGTCGCGGCCTGTTCGAGCGCGAAGACTCTGGCGCGCGGCGCAAGAGTGGCTGCGCGACGCGGGGGCGTCTTTGAAGCGCCGATTGAAAGCGTTCTCTGCTTGGCAAAGCTTCCCGCGGAGGAATTGCAGGGCGTCGCGGGTCTCGGAGCGCCGGGTGGTTCCCGGGGCTGAAACCACGTCTCGAAGCTCGAGTGGGAGCCGGGCCCGGGGCGGCCAGCGCGAGGGCCGGTGCGTCGAGCTCGCGAGTCGTTGCGAGCTCGCACCGCGAGGCGATTGGCCTCGAGGCGCGCCGGGTCGACCTTGACAGAAGTGAATTCGAAGCGGCCCTGCCCGCGCTGAAATCGATCGGGCCGTCGCGTGAGCACTGACCTTGCGGTCGAGATGGGTGATTCGATAATCGCCTGCAGTCTCTCTATAAGACGCGATCGCAAAACGGCGGCGTCGGATGCGTTGGTGGCGACGGTTCTCTGCGCGGCGGAGAGCTGTTGCGCGGCGAACGTTTCAATCCAGTCTCTCAGCTCAACCACGCGCTGTTGCGCGACAACGGACAAGGGCGCGAGGTTGCCCGTCGCGCGGCCCCCCGGGTAGGGGCCGCGGCCAGGAACGCCCTGCGCGGCCGCGCTGCAGTTGTCGATCTGGCGGGATCCACGGGGCGCAATCTCGGGGCCGGCGGCGCGAAGTCGCGAGGCGGAGGCAACGCGAGGGCCCGGGCGGGCGAAGCCGCGCGCGGAAACCGCGCGTCGAGACTCGAGGGCGCGAACCTGCTCCACCGCGCGCGGCGAGCGACCCGCGCGCTGCAGGGGGCCACGAGGACACAACGTAGCCGGGAGAATTGGGGGGACTGGACGCCCCCGAGGTGCACCTCCGGCCATGGTCAGGGCGCCGGCAGGAATTCCCCCCCGCAGACTTCGAAACGCGAGGTCGAGGGCCCCAGGGCAGCGCGCGCCCTGACCTTTGCGAGGCCCATGAATCACCGACTGCAGGAATTCCCCTCCGCAAGCGTTGAGCATTCCGTAATACACGTTCCACCAGCCCTTTGGGCGTGAGTGGTTTAGCGAGCTCTCTCTGTCCTCAACCCCCCTTCTTCCCGATCGGGGAGGGGTTTACCCCTCCCCCTACCCCCTCCCCCTGGGCCTGGAGAGGGGGGAGGGAGGGAGTTTGGCGCCTCAGCTCGTCTTCGAAGCCAAAAACATTGATTTTACTAGGGTGTTGGCCCCATTTTGGCCTTCTGAGGGGGCCGCGCTCATCTTCCCTCATAGCAAAATCCTTGATTTTACAAAGGTGTTGGGCTCATTTTCTCCTTCTCAGGGGGCAGCGCTCATCTGCGCTTCTGAGGAAGTCGCAAGAGGCCCCAAGATGGCCCCAAGAGGCCCCCAGGAGGCTCCCAAGAGGCCTCCAAGAGGCCCCCAAGAGGCCCCCAAGAGGCCCCAAGAGGTCCCCAAGAGGCCTCCAAGAGGCGCCCAAGAGGCCCCAAGAGGCTCCAAGAGGCCCCCAAGAGGCCCCCAAGAGGCCCCCAAGAGGCCCCCAAGAGGCCCCAAGAGCTCCAAGAGGCCCCCAAGAGGCCCCACGAGGAGCCCGAACGACTCACACCAGGACGAGGGGCCCGAACGACTCACACCACGAAGAGCCCGAACGACTCACACCACAAGGAAGGGCCCGAACGACTCACACCAGGACGAGGCGCCCGAACGACTCACACCACGAGGAGCCCGAACGACTCACACCACGACGCGGGCCCCGAACGACTCACACCACGAGGAGCCCGAACGAGTCACACCAGGAGGGGGGGCCCGAACGACTCACACCAGGATGAGGGGCCCGAACAACTCACACCACGAGAAGCCCGAACGACTCACACCAGGACGAAGAGCCCGAACGACTCACACCACGAAGAGCCCGAACGACTCACACCAGGAAGAAGGGCCCGAACGACTCACACCAGGACGAGAAACCCCAAACGACTCAAATCACGAGGAGCGCTCTCTCTCCCTCCTCCTCCGCCTCGTCCTTCTCCCGCTCCCCCCCAAGGAGGATGTACAAGGAGGCGGGAGGAACAAGGAACAGGGGAGATATGCGGGGCCAAGCGGACACACGCCTGAAAAACACAACTGTCGGCATGCTTCGCAAGAGTTGCTGCTGTGAGATGGGCTGGTGGGGATACGCGAAGCGTAAAGAATTCCCCTGAGCAAGCGTTGAGCATTCCGTAATACACTTTCCACTGTGGCCTTTGCCTGCAAAGGTTACCCCCCGCGGGCGTTGGGCGAAGTGGGCGAGAAGTCCACGGTCGATGGCCCTGGCGGGGGAGGGGGCGTGTAAGTTGGGTTCGCCTAGGCATCGTGAGTAGGCGTCAGAACATTCAAATCCTGCGACGCATCGAGTACGTCAGCTGAGTTAAATACGATGGCGGAGTCAGCCCTGCCAGCGCCCATACTTTCTTCGAGACTGCGCAGTGAAGCCCGCGAGGCCGTGGAGCGGGCTTCCTGGAGCGCCTCCGCCGCTGCCTCCTTGGCCTTGCATGCTTCGTCCACGGACAAGGGCCTGGCCACGCGTTGAGCCCTGACCTTATCCAGTTTCGTTTGGTGATTGGCGGCCTCGGGCCCGCCGCCGCTGAGGCGGATCAGCTCCAGCAGCTGGACGAGTTTTGACTCCTCTGGGTCCTCGCCCGCTGGCACGAGGGCGAGGGCGCTGGAGAAGCGCACTCGGCGGCTGCCTGCGCCTCGGCTCCCAGACGCCGAGCGTGCGCTGGCCGAGGCACCGCCTGTCGCCTCGCGCCAGGGTGGGCAGCCACGGCCGCCGTCACGGTCGCGGCTCGGTGGGCGTCTCTGGAAGCGATGTGCGCCGCCGCCGCCACCACAAGTAGGACGAGCTTGGACGAGGACCGGCGGTTTCTTGCAATGGCCGCACCAGGTCCACCACTCCTCATTCTTGCGGCAGCCTGTGCCCCTGCTGCCACATGCATCGGTGGCGCGCTGCCGTGATGCACGGCGAGACGCGCGACGTCGCGCTGATGTTGGAGTCGCCCCCGCGCCTGCGAACGCAGTCGGCGCACGCGGCGGTGCCACGCTGGCGACCTCGACCGCCCCCTGCAGTCGGAGTCCGCCGTCGGTCGCGCCCGCCCCTCAGGCGGCGCTGGGGGCTATCGCGCGCGGCCCCCCGAGCCCACCGCGGGGCAAAGCGTCTGTGGCCCGCCACGAGCCACCTAGGAGGAGGAGGAGGAGGAGGAGGAGGAGGAGGAGGAGGAGGAGGAGGAGGAGGAGGCAGAGGCAGAGGCAGAGGCAGAGGCAGAGGCAGAGGCAGAGGCGGAATCGGAGGAGGGCGCAGAGTGGGCAGGGAATATATCGCGATGCCTCGCTGAAACTCGCTCCGCCAATGCTGCTCGCGCTGCCGAGGCTGCTCACCGCCGTCCCCGGCCGGCCCGCGTAGGACGCCGCTGAACTGCTCGCCAGGGGCGCGGCGGCGGCTCTCGCCATGCTGCCGGAGCTGCTGGCCGGGCGCACGGCAGCGGCCCCTTCGGCGGGGCGCGGTGGCGCGGGCTGCGTGGGTGCCGTCGGCAGCTCCCACCGCACGCCTGGCCGGGCGGTGCAGCTGGTTGCTGGTGTTGTTCGTCGTCGTCGTAGTCGCTCTCTTCTCCTCCTCCTCCTCCTCCTCCTTCTCCTCCTCCTTCTCCTCCTCCTCCTCCTCCTACTCCTCCTCCTCCTCCTCCTCCTCCTCTCCTCTTGCCCTCCTCCTCCTCTCCTGCTCCTGCTCCTCTCCTCCTCCTCCTCCTCCTCCTCCTGCTCCTCCTCCTCCTCCTCCTCCTCCTCCTCCTCCTCCGTGTCCTGATCCTTG